ACTCAAGTATTTTTTGACATCTGTAGTAGTGTCTAAGTTCCCCATTTCTTCTTTTTTTATTTTGCATTTTCTACGATTTTACATCTTACATTTTATTTCTACAAAATACTTTTTCATATTAAATTGAAGTGATTCCTACAACAGTAAACTAAAAAGCATAAAATCAACTATGGTAGAAGCTGTGAGCAGATCGGATAAGGAAAGACATAACAGTTACAGTGATTAAAAAAAACACCTGTTTTGTGTGATTGATAAATAATGTGAATTAAAAGAAAGTAATAATGACACACAGTAGTAACAATAATGACTGCAAATTTAGTGTGGCTAAGCATTAATCACTAGTTTGGAACAGACTAATGATTACTATAACAATAAATTTACTTACACATAATAAAAAACATTGACTTAAGACAAGAGAGATACTGTAAACTACAGCTACAATATGTGTGTGTGTGTGTGAGTGTGTGAGAGAGAGAGTGTGTGTGTGTGTGTGGGGGGGGGGGGGTGAGTGAGAGTGAGAGAGAGAGAGAGAGAGAGAGAGAGAGAGAGAGAGAGAGAGAGAGAGAGAGAGAGAGAGAGAGAGAGAGAGAGAGAGAGAGAGAGAGAGAAAGAATTGGAAAATTGATTATGTTTCACATGCCAACTGAAACAACATGTGTATTCATATATATGAATACATTTATATTTCCCACACTGTCAGGCATTTCAGATTACAAAGATTAGAACTAATGGTGCTTCTTAAGGTTCTTCCTATACCCTTTGGACACTATTGTCTTCTGCAAATCAAATCAGTACTGAATCCTATATCTGTATAAGCCCTGGTGACCCTACTACTGTGTGGCATCATTAAAAGGTAAATTCTATCATATGAATAATCATTCTATAATGAAAAAGGAAGTTTCTCATTCTATAATGAAAAGGAAAGTTTACTCTGCCTTCATTTTATCGAATGCCAGTGCAATATCAGGTCTTAAAAGAACAACCTTGCTTCTACTTTCATGTCATATTGGTATCCTACCATGAATGGTTCTGAAAATGCTGTGAGATGACAAATGTAAAACAGTTTTGTACTGCAGTTTCACATGCAACAGAATGTACAGCTTTTATTATTCATTCTACAAGAAAGTAATCCCTTTTTTATCCTTAAGTACTTTCGTAAATCTTTGAAAAATCCTAAGGATTAAAGAGAGAGAGAGAGAGAGAGAGAGAGAGAGAGAAGTGGATGATGCTTGGTGTCTATAATCGCTATCACATTTGTTTGTGTTGCAAGCAGAATACACATGCTAGTCAGTAGTGGCTACATCTATCAAGCAAACAATTAAAAAATTGAAATGGTATAGTAAAACCAGCAGCTGATAAAAATATGAATGAAAATACCAGTATATATTTTATCATCATACAAAACTGCATTACATATAAGTAGAGAGAGAGAGAGAGAGAGACTTCACATCAATATCTTAGCAAAAAAAAACAACAATTCATACACATGTATGCATACAAAGTCACACATACAGGCTACTTACACTCATACACATCATCTTGTTTCACCAGTCTAATATCAGAGATTAAATCATTCAATCTTGTAACAAAAGTGTATCATATATGAATTGTGTAAAGCTTAATCGAAAAAACAGGATACTGGCACATTATTAACAATGGCAATGTGAAACATCTCCAATTCAAGAGGTGTCTAGGCTATCTAAAACAATACAAAGCGATAAGCAAAAAAATAAAACTGTATCCTTGGTTATTCATATATTACCTAAACTTGTGAAAGCATTGGTGTATGAAATACTTAATAATAAGTAATGACCTCAAGAATGTCATGGATGGGTTCTTCCTGAGGATTAATTGATGTCATATTCATCTTCTGCAATGTATAATTTGAGTACTTAGTACATACCAGTATTTATATATACATATATAGAAGAGTAACCTTAAATGAAATATGCAAGGAGCTGTTATCATGCACTAAAAAGTAATTTCAATGAAGTCGGAGGCTCTTAACAAAACAATAAAAGAAGATTAATTTAATCAGCCAACATCTCATAAACTCCACTGGAAGAAATTATTCCACTTTTCCTCATACATCTTGGGGAGGCATTGTAACTGATAGCAACTAATTATGTGTCAATAGCAGTGCATATGTTTCTATGAAATAGGATATCCAAAATGAAAGTGCACACTTACCATAGAGTTAAGTGCAAGATACTGTTGGTGACAGAACATTTTCTGCAGCACATTACTTATTAACATAGCAACACTAATGACATAGAAACAATTATGTTACATGCATTGCAGTGAATAAATCTGGTTAACTTAAAAGTATATGCTGTACAAACATTATTCTACAGATTTCAAATCATGACTTTTATCCATAAGAAAGATCAATGAGGTAAATTTGGATTCACAGTAAAGTGGGCAGAGGTGTTGATGTTGAAAAATAAGAGTTATAGGGAGACTGACGGCATTTACTTGCCAAATAGAACTGCTCCTGGAAGGCACTATTATGATCATAAATATTACATGAAATAATGAAATCATAACTATAATAAGATGAATATCATAATTTCTAACAGATGGCAGTTTAGTTTAATACATATAGTATACGACTTTCCTATTGTAAATTTACTTAATTCATATAACAACATATAATCCAGTTATAGGCCTTAAAAATAACTGTAAAGGCTAAACAAAAAAAGAAAAAGGCTTGTAACAAGAATTATGTAACATGACATCAATGTCAATATTTAATATTCTTAAAAGGCATCTACATGGTACCACATAATAATCCATTATTTAAACAAAAGGATCTTCATTACCCTCTTAATTCCACAGACTTTTTTATTACTCCCTCAGCAGCGCTACAAAATTAAATACTACTGCATCATCAGCTAAAAATACTATAGACTAAATCTTTAAAATAAAACTGTGCAACAATATCTAGGTTTGCTACATAGTTCTGCTCTATGGAAAAAAAAAAGAACCATGTAATTGTGACAACTGGAATTCATCAGATATATACAGGCCAGTGCACAGTAATATACATACTGTCAGCATACACATAGAACACTAACACAAGATCATTAAACCAAACTCTATTAAAAACATGAACTCGCTTGTCATTCACTCGTTTTGAGCATATCATGGAAAAGAAGGAGGGGAGGAAGAGGAGGAGAAGGAGGAAGAGGAGAAGGAGGAGGAAGAGGAGAAGGAGGAGGAGGAAGAGGAGAAGGAGGGGGAGGAAGAGGAGAAGGAGGAGGAGGAAGAGGAGAAGGAGGGGGAGGAAGAGGAGAAGGAGGGGGAGGAAGAGGAGAAGGAGGGGGAGGAAGAGAAGGAGGAGGAAGAGGAGGAGGAGGAGGAGAAGGAGAGGAAGGGCTAAGGGGGTGTAGGACTAGGAAGAGGATGACTAGGAAGGGAAAGAGATGCAAGAGGAAGAGAATGAAAAGGAAGAGTTTGACAAAAAAAAAAAAAAAAGTCATTTACTAAATTGCACAAGTGGTTTCAGACATGGGCAATTGCATGGCCCCTACCGTCCTGCCATACAATAACAAGATCATCAAAATTGGCCACTAAGCGCATATCTGGCAACCACCCAAAAAAAGGAGGGAGGGACATAAGGCACAACTCCTTCCTTCCTTGCCTCTAACTTCAATTAATAATACAAGTGACAAAAAAAATGAGATCAGCTAAACTTAGTCGTAGGCTGTGACTTCAACAACTGTGGCATGAGAAAAGTTACGTGAAAAAACAGCTGACTCAGCCATTAAAAGGCACTTCTGCACAGAGGAAAAAGATATAAAGAAAAGAGATATAATAAAATCATAAAAAATACAGCAAATGAAATATACAAAAATACTTTATATATACATATACATACATATACATGAGTGTGTATATATTATATATATGTATATATATATATATATGTATATATATATATATATATATATATATATATATATATATATATATATATATATATATATATATATATATATATATATGTATATATATATATATATATATATATATATATATATATATATATATATATATATATATATATATATATGTATATGTATATATATATATGTATGTATATATATATATATATATGTATATATATATGTATATATATATATGTATATGTATATATATGTATATATATGTATATATATGTATATATATGTATATATATATATATATATATATATATATATATATATATATATATATATATATATATATATATATATATATATATATATATATGATATATATATATATATGATATATGATATATGATATATGATATATGATATATGATATATATATATATATATATATATATATATATATATATATATATATATATACATATACATATACATATACATATACATATACATATACATATACATATACATATACATATACATATACATATACATATATACATATATACATATATACATATATACATATATACATATATACATATATACATATATACATATATACATATATACATATATACATATATACATATATACATATAATATACATATAATATACATATAATATACATATAATATACATATAATATACATATAATATACATATAATATATGTATGTATGTGTATGTATGTATATGTGTGTGTGTGTGTGTGTGTGTGTGTACACACACGCACATACACGTATATGTATATATGTATATATATACACACATACATATTACACTTCTATATATACCTATAATATATATATATTTACATATACATATACATATATACATAAATACATATATAAAAATATATATATACATATATATACATATATATATATATATATATATATATATATATATATATATATATATATATATATATATATATATATATATATATATATATATATATATATATATATATATATATATATATATATATATATATATATATATATATATATATATATATACACATGCACACACACACACACACACATACACACATATATGCATATTCACAAACATGTACACAAACACACTGTATTTGCACACAAAACTGTCAGTAATCCAAACGGTTACAGAAACATACAATATGTGAACCTTCAATAATACTTCAAGCAAAATTTACATTTCTTCTTAAAATAAATTGTATAATGAATCACAGAAAAAAAAAAACAAAAAAACAATACAATGGTTAAGGTGTAAATGCACAATCTGAAATAACGGCTATGTACAAGGTCTGAGATGGAGGTTGGAATGTTCTTTGCATTTCCTGGAACCCTTCGTAATAGCTAATATAAATGTTAAAAGTGCTATGAACAAACGATTAGGAACTAAAAACGTACTCTGAAGTGTTATCATACATTATGGACAAGTTATCAGCATCATATTAACAAAGTTCATTAGAAAATGCCACATTCAAAAATAATACTTTTACAATATCATATACATCACACAAAAGGGTGCAACTATAGAAAATTAGTATCTGGTAAAAATTATCAAGAACATACATTTCCTAATCATAAATATGGCATGGCCAAACCATTCATGGGTTTTACTGATGATAAATGATGATATATACCTAAATGCATCTGTAAGCAACATCTACAGAGGTATATTTTTTTTATTAAAATAAGTACTTTCATGGACATAAGACAATTTTCCATGTAATCCATAAGGAAACTAAAGTACCATCGAGTAAGACTTAAACTATAAACCAAAAGATTCTGACAATTTCATTTATGCATACATGAAATTAATTCTCAACATTCGTAATGAACAGCTGTGAAAAAAAAGGATATCTTCCAATGAAAATAGCAAATTCCTTTCCCAACACCGGTCATTTATCTTTGAAGTTACAAAACATCCTTGAATTTTCCTTGTTTTATATACACTTAACTTGTAAACCTTAAATCCATAAATCCCTATTCAAAAACTCTATCTTGTGTGACCAATATGTTATGAAATCTTGATCGTGTTCTGAAATAGGGCTTGGTGTGTCAGTCTCTGGTCTTAGATTAACTATTCCCTACTTAACCTCCTGTCCCTCCCAGGCCACTCAATTTATAAACTATTTATCACCCATTACAGTTAGTTCTTGTAAAAGCTAATCTTGTGTGACATAATGATGGACTATAAACATTTTCTGAGTATTTTTCTCATTTCCTCATACTGACTGCAATCATTGAGATTCATCATGAAAATTTCAGGCAAGAGTGAAGATTCATGTAATCTTTTGATTAAAGGTAATCAATCAAATGGCTAACTTATTCTAAATCTGAAAAAAAGCTTTGTCTTCAAAATATAATTACTGTTTCTATCATAAAACATCAAATTATCTGGAAAACAAATTCAATTTTATCCTTTCATTTTTCCCAACACAACATACACCAGCATATCAACCCTTCCATACCATGAATACATATCTGATATCCCAGTTTGTGACAACCACCTTATAATGCTGCTTATTCATCCTACCCTACAGAAAAATCTATCACTGCAAAATGCCAATTCTAATGAGCAATTGACAAAGCAATCCACAATGTTTTCAGTACAGATCTAGATGACTATTTGCTAGCAATTATTTAATTATCAAGTGTTTCTTTTGTCATCCTTTATAAATAGCTTTATTTGCAAACTACCTCTCAGCATAAAAAAGAAAAAAAAATACATATGCAACTTCAGAAAAAAGTGATATATATCATGCAATTTATGAATATATGGAACAGTAATCTGCAGGACCAGCCTTGCAGTTCTCTTGATGATTTTTACCCGACTAGTTTTAAACATAATATATGTAATTGTACATAGAAATATAAACTCTGCCTTTACTAAGAATAGAGTAAACTATTTGGAATATTACTCACACTGTACACAACTTTCAAAAAGAGAGAGAAAAAAAAAATGGCAGACTCTTAATTTCCTCATATAAAAGAGAAATGACTATTGTATAAAAGAAAGGGGACAAGAATGCTAAAACTCTTGAATTCTCTACAATTCAAGCTTTGCTTATGAACCTATAAAACATAAGGACAATTGATACAGAAAGGTGATTACTGTACTTCATTTTTTACGAAAATAAAATCAT